GATTACAGCTTGATGCCACACCGTATTTTCAGCACAAGTATGGAATTTTTCAGCATGGATATCGGTAACCCAAATTTTGCAGGCCGACCATAGATATCGGGTGTGCGTCGGCAGGGGATCGAACCCCGGACCATGTGCATGGTCGGCGAGAGTCCTAACCACTGTGCCACCTTCCTACGTGGCTTAAACTAACTGTTGTAGATTTCATTGACTGGTGCCATGTTTTGGTTTGACTGCCGCTAGCTCTTTTCTAGCCTGACCCCATGTCAGTCAGCTAATATTGCCCGTAGTCGAGGAAGGCGATGGCTAGGTATACGTAAGACGTAACTTCACAGCCATGTCCATTGATTTCCCCTCCTTACCTAGCACTCGACGCCTAACCCGAACATTGCTCACCTTGTTATACCACTTCAGCCTAACACGGGAGATAGAACGCATGCAGCTATGATCAAAGACAGCTAATCTTTTCGTGTTTTCCGCTCTCAATGGCCAGGTCTCACAGCCATAAAGGAGGACTGGGCTGACTGCTGAGCAGTACACCCGCCTTTTGGTCGATAGGCGGATATCACGTCAACGCCAGAGACGGTGTAAACTGGCATGTGCGAAACTAGCCCTCTGTATCCGTGCTGAAATTTCGTCAGATGGTACTTCCCCAATAAGTGAAGTTATAACTAACCGTCGCACACACACAATTGGTGTGGCTTATAGCCAACTGCATTATGGAGTTGCATGTCGTTGTTGAGTAAAATTTCATTCGAAACTTTCTATCACCTTGAAAACTATGCATCTGTCTTATTTATTTATTTATTGCCTCGGATTATTTTTCGTTCTCTGTAGCGCATCACCTTATGTCACTTTACTTCCATTCGTATGTACCGCTTTGAAGTCTGACAACCTGCTGGTCTAATTGAGGCGTATATCTATTATGTCAACTGGCATTGTGATTAACACTCATTATGAGCATATATAAAGCTGAGAAAAGAAAAACAACTGGAGGAAATCACAGAATTGTGATTTTAGTCTTCTGAAGTTATAATTTTGAAATAAAAGAATGATGTGTGTGGTATTCAAATTTTACTAATAGAAGTGTACTTACTACATATATATATATTTATCATAGAAGTCTTTTTTCTCTGAGTAATGGATGAATAAGTTCACTTAAGGACACTTGTTCCATTCTTATCTATCTCCTTACCCCAGATGTCTCATATATATATATATATATATATATATATATATATATATACATATGCAGTATGTTACATTTTAATGTTTCTCCCTGTTCGGAATTTTAAAGGTAGCCATAATATGCTACAAAATCTTTTCTGTACTTTTGATACTAGCAGGTTATTGTTCATGTCAATAATGATAGATATATTACACGAATATATGTATATTGTACTATTTGAATGTGTTGAAATTAAGTAGTTTGTGTAGTGCTCAAAACCCACAAAATCTTTCCTAACAGCAGATAAACAATATTTGCTTTTCATATATAGTACACCCACGATGATATTCGTGGGTGATATTCGCTCTGTCTTCCTTTATGGCTGGCTGTGAGACTTGGTCATTGGAAGTGGAATACATGAAAAGGTTGGATAGCTGTCTTCGATCATGGGTGCCTGCATTCTATCTCCCGTGTTACGCTGAAGTGGTATAACAAGGTGAGCAATATTGAGGTTAGGTCTCGGTCGAGTGCTAGGTATGGAGGGGAGGGGAAATCAATAGACAAGGCTGTGAAGCTACATCGGCTGAGAGAGATTGTTAGGACATGTGGTATGCGTGCCCAACCATCCATCGCCTTCCTCGACTACGGGCAATCTTAGCTGACTGACATAGGGTCAGGTTGGAAAAGAGCTAGCGAGTGGTGGTCAAACCAAAACATGGCCTCATCAATCAATGAAATCTACAACAGTTAGTTTAAGCCAGCCAAGTAGGAAGGTATCGACTTCCTGACTGGTAAAAACCAATGGAGGCTGGAGACACAATTGGTGATATGGCTCAAAATCGTTCTCAAAGGCTGGTGCAGATGTATTCACTCCTTGTGACTCTTTGTGAAACCTTATTGTTCTTCGTTATTACTATTCCTTTTGTCTCATATACCTGTCTACTGTCTCTATTATACAGTTCTTCTACTCTCTTCTCTTGCTTTGTGTGCTACATGGAGTGTGGTGACTTGAACTGCAGCACATCGGTGCAAAGTTCTATGTCGAAGACGGACAAACAGACGATGATATTCCTGATTGTGGTGGACTGGATTATGCGACATGCCGTGCATGGGAGTGAGGAGACAGGAATACCTTGAACCATCGATAAGAAGACTCTATAAGATCTGAACTTCGTAGAATACTTATATCTAATATTTTATGCACTCGAAGACTATCAGGAGAAAGCTAACAAGTCGACAGAAGAAGCTGGATGCGAAGGCAGGATTCCAGGTGAACATAGAAAACACAGAGGTGATGAAGATACCCGGTCATTAACAACAAGCATCAATCACTATCGTCGGAAGAAGTTTAAAAGAAGTCACTTCCTTCACTTATCTGGTTAGGAAGCATCGTTTCAACTACAGGCGGATGGCATGGGCAAAGATGTCAAAGCAGGCCAGTCAGAATCGGAAAAGCAAGATGTGCATGCCTTCATCACTCTGAAATCAGTTTGGAAATCTTCTGCACTCTGTAGTATAAAGAACAAGATTCGGATTCTGTTCAACACAAATGTAAAGTCAGTGGCTTCTTCTATGTGGATCAAAAACTTGACCAGCGCATTACCGAAGGCATTTCCAACAGTTTGCTTTGCTAACTCCATATTAAAGATCAAATGGCTAATCAGAAAGAATTAATACCACGGGACTGTGGAAACGAACTGATCAAGAACATATTACTCAACAAATATGCGGAAGAAAATGGAGATGGATCGGGCACACGCTGAGGAGACTGTCAAATGACATCGCTCTCCAGGCTGGTTCTCGAATGGGAAGCGGCGAGTCGGGCGTGTGAGGATGACACGGAAGAGATGACAGCTAAGGAGAACTTCAGAGAACTGAGTGAAATGGAGATATTCTGTTGAAGTCCTCTGTTGCACTCGGAACCCAAGGGAATAATAATAATAATAAACGAAATATTGCCATATTGAGTCATGAGTAAAAGGCACCAACAGCGAAGAAAATTTTCTTTTCGACGATTCATTTTCATGGGCTGCTGTACAATCGTAATTATATTAAACAAAGAAATCTTTAGACCAATCAGATACTGCTAAACTTTGTCCTCGAAGAATGTATTACATAATGTAAGGTGTAAGAAGGGGTGACTAATAGTAAGCTAGAAAAGAGGCAGAAGTTGGCATGACGTAATAAGTGTGAGATAATGACTAGTCAATAAGATCGTATAGAATGGACAGGAACTAGTGGAAGGGCGACAGTGTTTTTTTATATAAAATCTGTATGAAAAAGCAATGTTATTAATAAACAGTAATAGAGTGGTAATAAAATGTAGATGATAGGAATAATAATGATAATAAAATAACAGTAATAATAATAGTAATAATAACAATAATAGTGAACTTACATAATAGAAAAAAGAAGCAAAATTATAGTAAGAACTTTACTCTGGCCACAGTAGGGCGAGAGGATGTATGCATCGCTTTTGAATGCAGAGGTCTGGTTTCAGATCTCGAATTGCTAATGCTTCGGCTATGTACAGATGGCATATGCGAAGTCCATTTGTACGATATTGGGGGACTCTGTGTAGCACTGTGAAGCATTCATGTCGGGGTGCTCGATGTCCAGAGATGACAAGGTGTTCGAGGATATAGCTGCTGCTATTCTTCTTTTCTCCCCTGGCTAACCAAGCTGGACAGTGTTCCAGAATACGTTTGTGGACTTGCCGTTGTGTACGGTCGATATACTTTGCTCCACACGAGCGAGTAAATACACAGTGAAGTGGCCAAAAGCGGTATCTTATCCTTAACGTTAGACTAGATTAACTGTCTGCTGGAGAATGTGATACGTAAGGAGGCTGTAGGAAATGTCTTCTTCAGACATTTAGAAAGGCGGTTTCTGAGAATTTCCGCTGCGATGTTACCTTTGAATTCCAGGTTCATGAAGAGAGTTTTCTTTGGAACAGTTGCGATGTTTGGCGACGAAGGCTTCTCTTTCATGTTTTTGTCGTAATAATTTAATTTAATTCTTTCTCTACCATATCTTCTGAGCCAATTTTTCTAATCCTTAAACTTAATATACGTACCCCGTTTCGATTTCGGATCAGTGGGACAAAGCTCTGGAAGTTGATAAACTTTCCCGTCCATGTTGGCTTGCGATATATCGATCTTTGGATTGTACATTCGTGTCTTTTGGCAAGTAGTACATTGAGGAATGGAAATGCGTTGTTCGATTCACGTTTCTAAGGTAAATCTTATTGATGGGTACGCTGAGTTGAAGGTTTTGAGGAGAGAACTATGAAGGTATCGTCTGCGTATCTGCGTATAAGTGCAGTTGACTTATCAAGGGATCGAGAATGTTGTTTTCGAGACTCACCATAAAGCAGTCGGCTAGGAATAATAATAATAATAATATGCAATACACACACCTTAACCATTTCAAAAAGTAAAGATGAACGAAGTTCAGGTCTGGATAAATAAGAATAATGAGTTTTAACATCAAGTCTGTGAAAGGCATTTAAATTCCATTAGCATAGAGGCAACATACTTATTGTCTTGATCATTGCTACTAATTTATAATTGTGCCTTGTATAATGCAATAATAATAATTTCACTTGGTTTTGGAATTCATATCAATTTTTTCTTACTATTTTTGCTTATTTCTAACCTGTGGGATATTTTAGACGACATGTGTTTGTTTTTTTTTGTTGTAGACATTCCAATAATCTTTGTTTTACAGTTTCAAAAAACAAAAAAAATACAAATTCTTTGAATTGCATAACACATATTCACTTATGGTTATTATTTTGTTTTTGTTGGTTATCTTTACCTTTTTTTTACAGATAAATATGAAGTATGTGAAGGTCGACGTACAGAGTTTATTAATTCAACGGGGATGACGCGTACATACTCATACTTCTTGTGCCCTGATGATCCAAATCAACCATTTGAAAAATATTGCTGTTGGGATACATCAACTGGTATGGGTGTATGCTGTTCATACGATGTTAAAGTGTACGTTTATCCAATATGAACCATAATCTATAATGATTACTAATACAATATATTGATTTTTGTCCAAACTGTAACAACACAAGGCAAGACACGAAAGCCAAGGCATTTTTTTATTCATAGACTGGTCATTGAATCGGGTCCCAGTGGGGCTGATTGGTATACGAGCTTGGCTTGTAACCAGAAGGTCCTGTCTGAGTGGTTCTAACCCGTGCGGTGGGTGCGCGCATCACTGATGAATCCTAAACTGGATGAACCAAACAGATGGTTCTCAAACTGCTGATATCAATCAGTGATCAAACGTGATAGAAATAGAAAATCTCCACAAACAAACTCTTGAAAACTTTGATGGCTATTTTTCTGCGCGAATAGTGCTCCGAAAGCATAGTTCATTTCCTCTAGCCCTAAACAGTTTTCATCTGTTGTATTACAAGATGAGCTCGTAGAGCATTCAGCCAATGGAACCCGATCCAACGGCCCATATATATATATATATATATATATATATTTTAAGGATACTAGACACTTTTTGATTCTCTATAGTTTGGTCTGTAAGGGTTAGTTTTGTTTTTTTACGAGTTGATCACGGATTGATATCAGTTAGAGAACCATTGAAAATCAGGGAGTACTGGACAGCTGCTGTTTCATCCTAGTTTGGGAATCATCGGCAGTACACACTCACCGTGGGTTGAACCCAGGACCTTCTGGTTACAAGACAAGCTAGCTCGTATAGCATTCAGCCACTGGGACCCGATTCAATGGCCAGTGCATGAATTCTAACTTCTACAGGATGGAGTTTCCTGGAGTCAGTTCTAGTGAGAAGTCGTGACCAGTGAGGCCCAATTAGATGTCACGTGTGTGGATGGATGTCCCACCAACGACAATGGTTGGAGTCGCGCTAAACCACGAATTGGTAGAAGTTAGAATTCGTGAGCTGGCCATTTAATCGGGTCCCAGTGAGTGGCTGAATGGTATACGAGCTAGCTTATCTTGTAACCGGAAGGTCCTGGGTTCGAACCCGTGTGGTGGGTGCGTACTGCCGGTGATTCCCAAACTAGGATGAAACAGCAGCTGTCCAGTACTCCTTGTGGCTGGTTTTCAATGGTTCTCTAACTGATATCAATTCGTGATCAACTCGTAAAAACTCTTTTATTCACTAATTCATAACATACCCTTGAGAATGTGTCAACACCTAAGTGTGTGTAGGATAAGCTAAAGCAATGTTGTTGTTGTTGTATATAACAGTAATAGAGATGTCAAAAAAAGTGCATATTTTCATTTTTCCACACGTTCATCTTTGTTTCATTATGATGATAAATTACGATAAAAAAACACTAAAACTTATTTACTTTCTTTTTTTTTTCAAAAAAAAAATTCATTATCGTTATCACATAGTAGGCCTGTTTAAATACGTGCACATTTTGTAGTAAATAATATTGATTAAGCGAAAAAGCGTTATTCATCAAGGCTACAGTTAACACTTGAATGACACGGTTAACTTGTATTTTTGTTTCAATGAGCTTTAATTAATTAGGCGCAAGGTGTGAATTGGTTCATTCATTACTTTATTATATGTTATTTTCATAAAATAATTCATGTTATAATTTATGTGATATTACGAGTTAAGTCGATGTTAAAGTGTTATCGTCATTATTTATTACTGGTATATACATTGCACAATTTAATGACCATTCATAGTTAGTTAACTAGTGTTATATTTATATCCATTGAAATACAGTGGTGAATAATTGAAAATCATTCATACTGATATCAGTACTGACAAATTTCACCAGTTCGATAGTAATAATCAGCTTGGCTTGCGTGTGTGTGTGTGTATGTGCAGTATGCGGAGTAATATCTTCACAGAAGCTATGATAGTCTATGTATAGAAGGGAAAACTACTGAAGAAGAAATATGAGAAGAGGATTACAGTTCTAAAGAAGAAAACTCGATAAGTATGCTAGACAACAAGAAATAAGGTCTACTCCCTATTAATTTCATAGTGACTGGTATAATCTGGATCAATACAAGGTGCATCACTTTGTCAATTATTATTAGTATTGTTTCCTTTAGTTCTTGGAGGAACATAGGGCTTCAGCTGCACGTCTTTATTGCCTTCGGTTCTCTGCCAACGTTTTCACCTGGCTCCACGTCTGTTCATATGCTTTCATCTCCCTTTCATATGAACTCCTCCTCCTATGTCACCCTTGCACTGACGACCAGCCAAATCGCCGCTTCTCATTCGGCTTTCACTCGAGCGATTGCCTGGCGTGTGATGTCAGTCATTTGATGGCTTGTTTTCTCGGAGTATGGCCAGTCCACCTCCATTTCTTTCTGCATATTTGTTGCACACTTGGTTCCTGCTGGGTTGGTTCGTTGATTGCCAGAGATCCCTCGGTCGGTCGGTCGGTTTTCGACATAGAACTTTGCACATATGTGCGGCAGTTCAAGTCGCCACACTCCATGTAGCACACAAAGCAGGAGAAGAAAGTAGAAAGAAGAGATCCCTCCCACTACTGCTGATCTTTTCTGACCGGCCATCTGATCTTGAGTAGTATTAAGCTGTTGTTGACAGCTGTTGATGAAGGTCTGTGGTTTGTCCAAAGTGCCCTTTGTGACACGCTGGCCAAGTCTCTTATCCGTATGGTAAGTAGCACTGACTTCACATTGGAGTTGAAAATCCGGATCTTGAGAGAAATGAAAGCTTGTCTTGCTTTCCCGATCCTCTCCTTGATGATATCTTTGTCAGTTCCGTCCTCCTGTAGTTGAAACGATGCTTCCCAGGTTGCTTCTTTCGGATTCCTCCCATTTATGCTGGTTTTTGTTGCTGGTGTTGCTGTTGGCCAGGAATCTTCATCACCTCAGTTCTCTCTGTGTTCACCTGTCAATACTCAGTGTAAGTTGTCGTGTTCTTTTTCCTCCCGATTGTTGATGAAGGCTTCATTTTAAGTCTTACAATAATAAATAGCGCCAAGTTGACCAATGTATGTAGTATATGCATACAGATTATACTTTAGAAGAGTATAGGGTAGAATAGGGGAATAATGTATGCCTTAAAGAGTAGTTCAATAGTAGAATACTCACCAACCATTCACCTAGTCTGGGGTTCGATCCCCGATCGACACCTGCTTAACCTCGCTTAGCCTGTGGTAGACGCGGTAACGAGGGAGGTTTCGGCGTCAGGCTAGTAATGCCACCCTGTAAAAAATAAACCCTTTGTTACTCTGGGAACTCAAGGGAATACAAACAAACAAAAGTAAATAAATAGATAAATAAAAGTTTAAATGAACCCCATGTCAACTTATACTTTAAAATGAAGCTGGAAACAATAACCAATCAACCATGGAAAACAGATAAATTGTTACATATTTATAAATGTATGCAATATAATTTATGCAATGGTATTTCCTTCCATTCACCCAATTCTCTTGATTACTTTGAACAGAGAGAGAACGAACACTTTTGTAGGATAGGAAATGCTCAGGTGATTTTTGTATTTCACAGCTCTCCTTCAGCATAGGGACATCTGGTTACCAGTTTAGCGCGATACTAATCACACTATCTTTGTGTATACAGAGATTAGATTGGAATCGGTTGATAGTAATGCCTTATGCAGAGCGAAGTAGTCGGGTTTCTTTCTCTGTGTATATATCGATTACCCTGAAAACTCCACTTGTTCTCACTATATATCCTGTTTCACCAATATGTTTAGTGAATGCATTTGCAAACACTGTTAGGGATATGCTCAGAAAATCGGGTAGTTGGTCTCCTCTCAGTCCTGCCTATGTACTTGCCACCGCAAGCACACACGAATCAGTAGTACATACATTTGAAGTTGACATGAGCAGGACACTTATTTACTTTGAACTGTATTAGTGAACATTTTGTGTCATAAAGAAGGAGGAGGAGAGTCAGTCTAGCCGTCGGAAGTGCCTTTTTCAACACAACCTTGATTCTTTTTTCAATTCTTGTCAATACTTCTTTGTCTTTGTACGCCGTGGGAATGAAAACTGGTTTCCTCCTAACCATTACGAACTCCAGTCTAGAGATCATATTTTTAACTGGATTGCCTTCACCCCAGGTGAAGTGAACGTTAATTCTGTACTTTTTACTCAAAATTAACCTGTAGTAATATCAGAGTTGTATGAAAATTTACCTGATTGCTTATAATTAATCAAGCTGCTAGTATAAACTGACTTTATGCGAAGTTTGCAAGGGTTTGATTGGCTACAAACTTGGTCGCGTGGTGACATCAGTTAGACAGCGACTGGAAAACTTGCTCAAGAGTTCGAAACCACAAGGAAATAGGCGTCCAGTACTCCCCGGTTTCCTAGCGGTTCTCTCACTGTGCGTTGGTGGCACAGTGGTTAGGACTCTCGCCGACCATGCACATAGTCCGGGGTTCGATCCCCTGCCGACGCACACCTGATATCTATGGTCGGCCTGCAAAATTTGGTCTACCGATATCACATGCTGAAAGTTTCATATCTGTACCGAAAAATACGGTGTGGAATCAAGCTGTAATCAAACATAAAACAAATATATATATATATATATATGTCTTTATACGTTGAATTGTTACTACAATATTCACCACCTTGATGCATTGTTGTTCTTGTTTCATTTCTTACTGAATGTATCCGACAGCCAGTCATGATAACAATAATAATAGTAATAATTATAATAATAATATCATATTGTGTTTTATGTATGCATATAGCAGTTCAACTTCTGGAAGGTAAATCAAATAATCACTGTAATATCCCCTTTTCTTTTATCATGTAATAATTTCCTGATTCTTCTTCTTCAAGAATGTTTTTTAATGTATGTGTGAGTGTACGTGTCGTTCCACTGTCTCTTGCTCTTGTGTCTATCTAATTCACCTATCAACTAATGTTGACATAGGTGTGTGTTGCTGGATGGATGACATAACCTCTTCCTTTCATCACTTAGTTGAATGTTTGTTGTCGGTTTTTTTTTTGAAAATTCTTTTTTTCATAGAG